ACAAACACACACACACACACACACACACACACACACACACACACACACACACAGCTATGCAGGTCGTAGTGTTGGTGAAGGAAGGACTTAAGACCACTGTAGGAGAGAGAGAGAGAACAGAGAGAGAGAGAAGAGAGAGAAGGGGGCAGTTGTAGTGGCTAAGTGTACAAAGTGAAAAGAGAAAAAAGAAGATGTAGTGGCAGGGTGGTAAGTGGTTCTCCTAGCAGGGTGGTAAGTGGTTCTCTTAGCAGGGGTGGTGGTTCTCCTAGCAGGGTGGTAAGTGGTTCTCCTAGCAGGGTGGTAAATGGTTCTCTTAGCAGGGGTGGTAAGTGGTTCTCTCCTAGCAGGGTGGTAAGTGGTTCTCTTAGCAGGGTGGTAAGTGGTTCTCTTAGCAGGGGTGGTAAGTGGTTCTCCTAGCAGGGTGGTAAGTGGTTCTCCTAGCAGGTGGTAGTGGTTCTCCCTAGTAGGGTTGATGTGGTTCTCCTAGCAGGGGTGGTAAGTGGTTCTCCTAGCAGGGTGGTAAGTGGTTCTCCTAGCAGGGTGGTAAGTGGTTCTCTTAGCAAGGTGGTAAGTGGTTCTCTTAGCAGGGTGGTAAGTGGTTCTCCTAGCAGGGTGGTAAGTGGTTCTCTTAGCAGGGTGGTAAGTGGTTCTCTAGCAGGGTGGTAAGTGGTTCTCTAGCAGGGTGGTAAGTGGTTCTCCTAGCAGGGTGGTAAGTGGTTCTCCCTAGCAGGGTGGTAAATGGTTTCTCCTAGCAGGGTGGTAAGTGGTTCTCCTAGCAGGGGTGGTAAGTGGTTCTCCTAGCGGGTGGTAAGTGGTTCTCTAGCAGGGTGGTAAGTGGTTCTCCTAGCAGGGTGGTAAGTGGTTCTCTAGCAGGGTGGTAAGTGGTTCTCCTAGCAGGGTGGTAAATGGTTCTCCTAGCAAGGTGGTAAGTGGTTCTCCCTAGCAGGGTAGTAAGTGGTTCTCCTAGCAGGGTGGTAAATGGTTTCTCTAGCAGGGTGGTAAATGGTTCTCCTAGCAGGGTGGTAAGTGGTTCTCCTAGCAGGGTGGTAGTGGTTCTCCCAGCAGGGTGGTAAGTGGTTCTCCTAGCAGGGTGGTAAGTGGTTTCTCCTAGCAGGGTGGTAGTGGTTCTCCTAGCAGGGTGGTAAGTGGTTCTCCTAGCAGGGTGGTAAGTGGTTCTCCTAGCAGGGTGGTAGGGTTCTCTAACCGGGGTGGTAAGTGGTTCTCTAGCAGGGTGGTAAGTGGTTCTCTAACCGGGATGGTAAGTGGTTCTCCTAGCAGGGTGGTAGTGGTTCTCCTAGCAGGATGGTAAGTGGTTCTCCTAGCAGGGTAGTAAAGTGGCTCTCTAGCAGGGTGGTAAATGGTTCTCCTAGCAGGGTGGTAAGTGGTTCTCCTAGCAGGATGGTAAATGGTTCTCAACAGGGTGGTAAGTGGTTCTCCTAGCAGGGTGGTAAGTGGTTCTCCTAGCAGGGTGGTAAGTGGTTCTCCTAGCAGGGTGGTAAGTGGTTCTCCTAGCAGGTACAGTAAAACCTCTATTTAATGGACTATAGGGAGAGGTAAGTCCGTTATATCGAGGTTTTACTGTACACAATGCGACAACGTAGACGGTACTGCACTTGACTGCCTTCAATTCCCCAACTGTAAAATTAAGTACTACTGGGTGAAATGGGAGTGCCCCGGGATAGAACCAGCGACCCTTAAAACAAGTGTCGAGGTGATTTGTTTTTCATTTGTTTTTCCTGACAAAATAACAGACGCGTTTTTTTATTTTTTTTACAAGACTTTTTTTACTTTTATTACTTTTTTCCCGACAGATGTACGTGTTAGTGTTACTTTTTTCCTCACAGAGGGACATGTTAGTGTTACTTTTTTCCTGACAGATACTTGTTAATGCTACTTTTTATCCTGAGAATAAGTGTGAGATTAGTGAGATCAAGGATGAGATTTAGAGTGAGATTACTGAGATCGGGGCTATTGTACGTGATATTACTGAGATCAGGGCTATTGTACGTGAGATTACTGAGATCATGGGTATTGTACGTGAGATTGCTGAGATCAGGGCTATTGTACGTTAGATTACTAAGATCAGGGCTATTGTACGTGAGATTACTGAGATCAGGGCGATTGTAAGTGAGATTACTGAGATCAGGGCTATTGTACGTGAGATTTCTGAGATCAGGGCTATTGTACGTGAAATTACTGAGATCAGGGCTATTGTACGTGAAATTACTGAGATCAGGGCTATTGTACGTGATATTACTGAGATCAGGGCTATTGTACGTGAGATTACTGAGATCAGGGCTATTGTGCGTGAGATTACTGAGAAGAGAAACGAGATTAAATGTGATAATAGTGAGATCAGGACTGAGATTAGCATTGTGAGCTCACCTGGAAGTTCTTGATGTGTCCGGCTGGGCACTGAGACGAACAAATGGACATAGGGTGCGTCTCATTGCCTCGCTGGCCCGGTGTCCACTCTAACTTGCTGGCGTCCAACTGCAGGCTGAGGACATCCAGATAATGTGTTATTGAGACACAGGGGATTAGGACATGGGGAAGACAGCCAAGAAAAGAATTTATAGAGCAAAGTAATTTCAGGACATCGCGGGGTCCAAGTGTAGCTACGTTTTGGACACCTTAAATATGGATCACTGAGATATATAAGGTTAGGACATGGCAGGGAAGGAATACAAATAGGAGACGCCGGTGTCCGAATGTGGGCCGAAGTCATCCAAGATATAAATAATTGGGACACTGGAGTAGATTACAGTTTCGGACACAGTTTTAGGACATATTAGAGCCAATTTGCTCATCAAGGACACCTAGAAACAGGTGTTAATGGGACATTGAATTAGGAAATGGAAAGACATGTGGGTATATGATTCATACTGAAGCCAGGACAATGGGACATGCAGTCATCTACTTATATGTTTAGGACATTTCTTGGGACATACACCCGGGAAAAGGCACTTGAGGACTTGGGGACATAAGGTTATACAAAGGATACTATAATATCCTGAAATATGGACATCTTCCTGTTCCTTCTGCATGTTTAGGACACCCACATAATAGCTTATTGGGACACAGAATTAGGAAATGAAGGTTGAGGACACCAGAAATTGACATGGCGTACCGGAAGAAGGAAAAAAGTGGACATGGTGATTTTGCATCCATGTTAAGGCCACCCAGACAACTCTTATTAGGACATCGGAATAGGAAACAGTGTAATGAGATAAGCTGGTGTCCAACCTATAATATGTGGACACTAAGACATACATCATTAGGACATGGTGTTTTCTTGTCGCCTGTTAGAGTCGTGACCAGGTAGGACATGTGGGACACGTAGGGGGGGGGGAGTTGAGATATGTAACACGTAGACAGATAAAGAGAGTGAGAGAGATAGAGAGAGAGAGATAGAGAGAGAGAGAGCTCGTGAACACAATACTAATAGGACACTGAGAACTGGACACACGGACACAGGCAAGAGAGGAGGAGAAGGAAAAGATGAAGAAATAAAATAAGTATAAAAAATGAATAACGTAGAAGTCTAAGAGAGAAAATAATAATAATAATAATAATAATAATAATAATAATAATAATAATAATAATAATAATAATAATAATAATAATAATAATAATAATAATAATAATAATAATAATAATAATAATAATAATAATAACTCCATAATAAAAATATAAACATCACCCAACATAAGTTTCATATCAACAAAGATTAAATTTCAATAAAATTTTAATAGATAAAATTTTACCCAAATAACACGTAGTGAAAAATACATCCAATTCTGCCCCATCACTGTTATGGCTCTATGATGTATTGTGGCATGTGGTGGTGGTGGTGGTGGTGTGGTGGTGTAGTGAATTAATAATTAATTAATAGTGATAGTGGTATTGGTGGGATAGTGGTGAGTGGTTGGTGGTTGGTGGTGGTGGTGGGGATAGTGGTGATGAATTGTGGTGGTGATAGTGGTGGTGGTGTGGTGGTTTAGTAGTGGTGGTGGTGGTGATGGTGGTGTGGTGATAGTGGTATTGGTGGGGATAGTGGTGGTGGTTGAGGTGGTTGGTGGTGGTGGTGGCGTGGTGATGGTGGTGATGGTGGTGGTGGTGTGGTGATAGTGGTGTGGTGATGAGTGGTATTGGTGGGGATAGTGGTGGTGGTGGTGATGGTGGTGATAGTGGTGGTGATAGTGGTGATGGTGTGGTGGTGATGGTGGTGTGGTGATAATTGGTAATTAAATTGCAGGGGATAAGTCGTGGGTGGTTGGTGGTGGTGGTGGTGGTGGCATGGTGATAGTGGTGGTTGGTGGTGGTGGTGATAATTAATTGGTGGTATTGGTGGTGATAGTGGTGGGTGGTGGTATTGGTGGTGATGTAGTAGTGGTGGTGGTTGGTGGTTGGTGGTGGTGGTGGTTAATTGGTGGTGATAGTGGTGGTGGTGGTGGCGTGGTGATAGTGGTGGGTGGTGGTGGCGTGGTGATGAGTGGTGGTTGGTGGTGGAAATTTAGGTAGATGAAAGTAGAATTGGGTAGGGTGTGGTGATAGTGGTGGTGGTGATAGTGGTGGTGGTGTGGTGATAGTGGTGGTGGTGTGGTGATAGTGGTGAGGTGATAGTGGTGGTGGTGAGGTGATAGTAGTGGTGGTGGTGGTGATAGTGGTTGTGGTGATAGTGGTGGTAGTGATAGTGGTTGTGGTGGTAGTCACGTGACCCATCCTCCCCCTCCCGGTGGGTCGGTCTACACACTATATTAATTCTAATTTACGAGAGATCTTCTGGATGTCCAAAGTTAGCAATAAGCTGGTGATGGGAGGGAAGAGCCACCCCGCTCACTCTCTCTCTTTCTCTTTACTCTCTCTTATTTTACTCTATTTTCTCTTTATATTGTCTTTTTTATTATCCCTGTCTCCTTTCACTCTTTATTTTCTCTATTTTTACTCTTTTTATTCTCTCTTTCTCCCTTTACTCTTTATTTTCTCTCTTTCATACTTTTCTCTTTATTTTCTCTCTCTTTTTACTCTCTTTCTCCTTTTACTCTTTATTTTCTCTCTCTTTTTACTCTTTTTCTACTTTTACTCTTTATTTTCTCTCTCTTTTTACTCTTTCTCCTTTTACTCTTTATTTTCTCTTTTTACTCTTTCTCCTTTTACTCTTTATTTTCTCTTTTTACTCTTTCTCTTTTACTCTCTCTCTCAAATACAAATTAACCGATATTTTGCTTTAAATCCCAATAAATTGTTTTCATTCGCAAAGTTTAAATGAATATCTTTTAGGTTATAACATAAGACGAAATAATCCAATATATACACACTGTTTACCAAGCCTACGTGTACTGCTATACCTCAGTGGTGTTGTATGTAAAGTAACTCAAAGAAACTAACACTGTTTACCAAGCCTACGTGTACTGCTATACCTCAGTGGTGTTGTATGTAAAGTAACTCAAAGAAACTAACACTGTTTACCAAGCCTACGTGTACTGCTATACCTCAGTGGTGTTGTATGTAAAGTAACTCAAAGAAACTCACACTGTTTACCAAGCCTACGTGTACTGCTATACCTCAGTGGTGTTGTATGTAAAGTAACTCAAAGAAACTCACACTGTTTTACCAAGCCTACGTGTACTGCTATACCTCCTAAGTAACTCAAAAATACACCTGTTTACAAGCCTGTGTACTGCTATACCTCAGAGTATTTGTATGTAAAGTAACTCAAAGAAACTCACACTGTTTACCAAGCCTACGTGTACTGCTATACCTCAGTGGTGTTGTATGTGAAGTAACTCAAAGAAACTCACACTGTTTACCAAGCCTACGTGTACTGCTATACCTCAGTGGTGTTGTATGTAAAGTAACTCAAAGAAACTCACACTGTTTACCAAGCCTACGTGTACTGCTATACCTCAGTGGTGTTGTATGTAAAGTAACTCAAAGAAACTCACACTGTTTACCAAGCCTACGTGTACTGCTATACCTCAGTGGTGTTGTATGTGAAGTAACTCAAAGAAACTCACACTGTTTACCAAGCCTACGTGTACTGCTATACCTCAGTGGTGTTGTATGTGAAGTAACTCAAAGAAACTCACACTGTTTACCAAGCCTACGTGTACTCTATACTCAGTGGTGTTGTATGTGAAGTAACTCAAAGAAACTCACACTGTTTACCAAGCCTACGTGTACTGCTATACCTCAGTGGTGTTGTATGTAAAGTAACTCAAAGAAACTCACACTGTTTACCAAGCCTACGTGTACTGCTATACCTCAGTGGTGTTGTATGTAAAGTAACTCAAAGAAACTCACACTGTTTACCAAGCCTACGTGTACTGCTATACCTCAGTGGTGTTGTATGTAAAGTAACTCAAAGAAACTCACACTGTTTACCAAGCCTACGTGTACTGCTATACCTCAGTGGTGTTGTATGTGAAGTAACTCAAAGAAACTCACACTGTTTACCAAGCCTACGTGTACTGCTATACCTCAGTGGTGTTGTATGTAAAGTAACTCAAAGAAACTCACACTGTTTACCAAGCCTACGTGTACTGCTATACCTCAGTGGTGTTGTATGTAAAGTAACTCAAAGAAACTCACACTGTTTACCAAGCCTACGTGTACTGCTATACCTCAGTGGTGTTGTATGTAAAGTAACTCAAAGAAACTCACACTGTTTACCAAGCCTACGTGTACTGCTATACCTCAGTGGTGTTGTATGTAAAGTAACTCAAAGAAACTCACACTGTTTACCAAGCCTACGTGTACTCCTATACCTCAGTGGTGTTGTATGTGAAGTATCAAAACTCACTGTTTACCAAGCCGATGTTCTTCCTCCCTATACCTCCAGTGGGGTGTTGTATGTAAATGCTCAAAGAAACTCACACTGTTTACCAAGCCTACACGTGTCCTCCTATACACTCAATTGTTGTATGTGAAATATCAAAGAAACACACGCAAACACACCAAGCCTACGTGTACTGCTATACCTCAGTAGTGTTGTATGTAAAGTAACTCAAAAGAAACTCACACTGTTTGCAAACCTACGTGTGTACTGCTATACCTCCAGTGGTGTGTATGTAAAGTAACTCAAGAAACTCACATGTTTACCAAGCCTACGTGTACTCTATACCTCAGTGGTGTTGTATGTAAAGTAACTCAAAGAAACTAACACTGTTTACCAAGCCTACGTGTACTGCTATACCTCAGTGGTGTTGTATGTAAAGTAACTCAAAGAAACTAACACTGTTTACCAAGCCTACGTGTACTGCTATACCTCAGTGGTGTTGTATGTAAAGTAACTCAAAGAAACTAACACTGTTTACCAAGCCTATGTGTACTGCTATACATCAGTGGTGTTGTATGTGAAGTAACTCAAAGAAACTCACACTGTTTACCAAGCCTACGTGTACTGCTATACCTCAGTGGTGTTGTATGTGAAGTAACTCAAAGAAACTCACACTGTTTACCAAGCCTACGTGTACTGCTATACCTCAGTGGTGTTGT